AGCTTGAATTTGAAACCAATGAGATAATGAATTTTACTCTATCATTGACTCACCCTGTATACAATGCTTTTGCCATTCTTGGGTTAAGGTTGTTCAAAAATATCAAAATTATTCAAATTTTTTTCTCATCGTTTCGATTACGAGATTCTTAGTGTTATTTATGTATATTAAAATATATAAATAAGTATAGAAATATGAAATAATTGACATAAATATTTCGACTTGATGATTAGATCATTGAACAACCCCACCCAGGCACCACATTATATTTACTCTTTTTGTATATATAGAGGGTGCGCCAAAAAAGTACGGATGCGTACCTGTTAAAATTTTTCAAAATACGGAATGAACTAAAGCCACAAAAATAAATTTCAAGACAAACTTTACAATTAAAAAATGTTGTTTTCTTTACTTATTTAAATGTCATCATCCAATCATTTATGGAAATTTTCATTTGATTATTAAAGACTATTATTATTAATATATGTAGGGAAAACATTTTTAAAAAACGCGCGTGCCTTTTCCAGCGTATTAGGCAGTGAAAAAAACATGCATGATAAAGGGATAAATGACGAAGTGTAAAAATAGACGTTATGGTGCTATTGGTGAGATTATTAAACACAAAATTATCGATAACTCTCTATATACCTGATATTACGGAGCACGTTTTAAATGTAGAACGAACGGGTTTAAAATTTTACGCGAGATTTGCCAGAACCGATGAAGCCATCGGAGAATTTTCAAATTCGCTCACGCAGAGCCTTTAAATTTTCATTCATTTATTAAAAAAAAAAAAAACTTTTCAACAAAACGATTATGAGAACTGATCACTCAAACAACAGCAAGTTTTGTCTAACTTTCTTGCCGTATGAGGTATTTAAAAATATAACACCCTGAAACTAGTAAACTATTAGAGGCTCTTGATTTTTTGATTAATTTTAAAATTTTGTTTCTATAAATTAGTGAACTATGGCAGCATCGCTTTTTCAGTAAAACATACCAGTGTTAATTAAAAAATCTTTAACATCTCAGAAATGTGGCAATTTTATTGTAATATAAATATTACAATTAACTTATGTAGTAGTTCCTTAATACCTACTCAAATTTTGTTGTTAAAAAAATATCACTGGTCCAAAAACGATTGACAAACTTTGAAGTAGTCAATCTGATGATAAATAAAAAGACATTTACGCATTTTCAATAAATATAAACAAAAGCTTATACATATAAATACGCAAATAATGTAAAATGCGCTTGACACAAACGTAAATATAAACCTAACCTAAAATTATACATTCCGCCTTGTTAATCGATAATATTTCAGAAGGCGTTAAATGTTTGACTGGAGTCCATTGTTGTTGAATATTAGAAACTAACCAAATACTTATGCGTCTCATTCGATCGAAATTACCAACATTATAACGTGTCTCGTCACTGAAAAATAGTTTATTAGCTAATTAAAGTTTTCTTGGCTGGTCTCGTACTGTATAACCATTGAATGCGCATGTGCAATCGTATTTATTGGTCTAATAAAATTTTAATTATTTCTTTCATTAAAACTGCACTGGGAACTAATGAAAACATCCGGGCAATAACAACTTGTTTTTCTCCATCTTGGAAAGCTCTTGCAATTTGAGATTAAATCTTTGGATATAGCAATTCTTTTCCCAATTTTTCTTTTTAAACAAAAAGTCTAACTTTATAATGTCGTTCAACAGCGATCGGATATCTTTGGCAGATTTTAGCCATAGTATTTCTGCTTTTACGTTTCACACCAAGTTGGGCATGACCGCTTGGACCATTCGCCCTTTATCGACGTCCGCCGATGTTTTATCCATAGCATATTTACATTTACCAGTTCTGACGGTGGCGTCACACGTCACACTGATCAGTCAACAACTGGCCTAATTTTCAATATCATTAAACATCTATATCTACAAAATAACTTTTATAATTTGCATTTGCATTAGTTTAATATTAAGATTTTATTTATAACATTTCACATAGTTTTATGATCTACATATTATTAAATGTATATTATTAAATTAATATATTAAATATATATTATTAAAAAAGATTAACAAAAACGTTGGCTTCATGCAAATTATAAAAGTTATTTTGTAAGTGTGGCCTACCGCAAAAACCTTCAAAACACTTTAAAATCATTTTGTGAAGTCACTTTTACAAATAACCCCAAACTGTCACACATTTTTGAGAATGTCATACCGAGAGGAATCAAATTATTCTATTAGGTGTTCCTTAAAAAAAACATAGGATACCAGAGGTATGAGGGATGCCCCAAAACTTCGAATTTCCAAAATCACCCTGTATTTGAAAAACTAAACAAGTGATGAACATTTTGTTGACCTAATCTTTCGTTTCACAAGAAAGTAACAAAGGTTTGCGAAAATGCAAGGCTCTATCTTCACTAACAACGGACGCACCTCTCAGTCGCAACCAAATTGATACACAGTGTACATAACTGTTTTCCAAAATATAAACAATTTGTGATTTTTTTTTTAATATGTCGGAATTTGTACCGAATAAAGCGTTTCGGCGGGGAATTTTGCTCTATTATTTTAAAATGGGTAGAAGTGCTGCAGGAAGTCATCGTATTTTAATAGATATTTAAGACTATATGCACTAGCTGAGCAAACGTGTAGAGAATTTACACGTTTTAAAATTGGTAAATTTTGATTTAGAAGACAGAGAATGACCTGGGCAGTCCAAAAAAATTCCAAGATGAAGAATTATAAAAATTACTTAATAAAGAAGTTTATTAATTAATTATTAAAAATTAGGGATTCACAAGGAGGAACATTAGATTCCAAATGAATTAAGGCCAATGGAGAAATATTAAAAATGGATTTACTGTTACAGCGGGAAAAAAGAATAGGATTTTTGCATCGTGAAGCCTGGTGAATCATCAACACCAGTGGCGAAAAGCAATATCCACGGATGTAAGCTACTGCTATGCATTTGGTGGGATCAGCTGGTTGTGAATGAAATGACTACAGGAGCACAACTCATGCGCCTGAGCCGTGAATTAAAAAAAACTGCCGGAATATGACATGACAATGTTCGTCAGCATGTCTTGAAACCAGTCAAAACATACTTTGAAATGCTGAAATGATTACCATTTCTTCAGATCAATAGCTCATGGGGCATTTAAAGACAGTTTTGTCGACGTGGGATCCCTCTCTTGCCGCAAGTGGGAAAAGGTTGTAGAAAATAATGGACAATATTTCATCTATTATACGTTTTGATATTCATAGTTAATAAATATTTTTTTGATTAATGAAAGGGCTTCGAATTAATTCCAAGTTCTATAGTTTGATGAAAGTCAACGCTAATGTAAAAAACTTTATCAAGTGTTTTTGATTCAACGATTTACTTGTAATAAAATATAACTATACATTTATCTCGAAAACACTGCGCTTTGTTGGAAAAAATATAGTATAATTTTTTTGCTTACAATAATCTTCAAAAATTGTAACAGAGCGGTATTTACAGAAAAATTATAGCATGAAATAACGAGATTATAAAATGTAACTAGTACCCTTAACATATTATCTGTTCAAATGGAATGTAATCAATCGTCTTCATTAGAACAATTTCTTTTTGAGACATTGTGTTTATGACCCAAGTAGTTTTTGAAATGTCGACATAAAAACTTCAATTGGGGGGTTTTCTCTTTCTGGTTAAGACGATAACATTCTATTTTTTCATACATGTGGAGGGTACTAGTTACAGCCTAAAATCTCGCTATTTCATGTTTTGTTAGTACCGTTACTTTTTTTTGAAGAGGAAAAAAATTAGGAATTTCGAGATAATTCGCTGAATCAAAACAGTATATTTTCTACTCCCGTCTGCAAAATACCTGATAACGTACCGATCTAGCGTGCGGGAAGCGTCACTTTACCACGTCAGTTTCGTTTCCCAAGGATCTGAGCCACTTCGGACATTTTCGGGATTTTACCGCACGGGTTTAGGCGCAATCGGATGTTTTCGGAGATATTTCCCACGCTCTGAATGTTGACGTTTGTCAATTCTGACGGTCATGTCAGTGAATGTATTCGGGTTGTTTTGCGAAAGTGTACCCAAAAACTAACGGTCGTAGAAAAAGTATAGTATGCAACACGTTCGAAACGCTTTTTAATGCCGTTTACCGCATTTGTTGCATAATATACTATTATGCAACAAGTGCGGTAAACGGCATCTGACTCACGAGCGGAGCGCAGCGGAGCCAGTGTTTAATAAACGAGTGACTTAAAAAGTTTACGTGTTCCATACTATACTTTTTCTACTACGGTTAGATTTTGGGCACATTTTTGCAAAACAACACGAATACATTCACTGAGATGACCGTGCGAAGTGGCTCAGATCCGTGGCAAAGTGACGCTTCCCCCACGCTAGATCGGTATGTAGTTAGGCATTTTACAGACGGGATTAGAAAAACCCTTTGACACATTCATTCACTACAGACCAGCCTGTATAGTTATTTTAAACTATTTTGTCATTGTACCAACTCATTTTGAATTGCAGGTACCCAAACAAACGTTTATTTTGTTTATTTATGTATTGTGTTTAATGACAACTATCATATTTTTGTTTAATGATTAAATTAGTTTAATATAATAATAAATATTTTGGTTAGTGGGTTTGAATCTTTTTTCAAAAAACAAAAGAAACAAAGGAATTCCGAAAAATTACGTGGACTTCCAGGGAATTGAATTTAAAAGAAGAACTACGGTGTACACTCTTACCGCGGGAGCAACGCTAGGTTCCGTACCCCTAGGCAATGCCTTTGGTCGAGATAGGTTTATTTGAACTACTTTTCGTATTACGACGCGATAGAGGAAAACAAATTCAAATTTCCGCGACAAGCGTCACGTAAAATATAAGCTGAGTTTAAAACCATTTCTAACTCAATTTACGAGTTAAAAAGTTTTAATGAAATTATAAAACGTATGCGTCGTAACTCATCGTATTTGTTTCAGTATTGGCTGGACCTCCAGAAGCCGATATCGCGCCAACTCGGCCTATCCCTGGTCGATCCGTTGCTATATTTCTGCGTGAAATTCTACACGCCCGATCCCGCGCAACTCGAAGAAGAATACACTCGATATTTGTTCTGTTTGCAGGTGAAAAGGGACTTGGCTCAAGGTAAATGAATAGCTGTTAAAAAGAAAGCGGATTAACAAACGCATAAATAAGGTTTATTTATTTATCATATCATTTAAGATATGAATTAAACTTTCGAACTAAAGTTGATAGCAATTAGCAACGGAAAATGATCAATGACGAGTAGGTCAGGTTGAAGAGATAAAGAGAGAATACGATACTACTAATTCTATTAGGTTGTTTGGTACTGTTTTCAATTCTTCTGGATTCCTCCTGCGCCGGTTTGTTAATGAATTGAACTCGCTGACGTTTCCCAATCATAGTGTTGACTTTTTCAGAGCCTAACTAAAAATAGTTTGCATTCTGCTCTGTAGAGGATGTCCGGGGGACTGGCTGTTACAAAATATAAATTTTATTTTTTTTAGTATCGTTCGATGATAAAGGTTCCGTATCGGAAGAAAAATAATATCAATTTAAAGAAAACTTACCTTTCGTATAAGAAAACAAAAAGTTTTTACCCCACTGACAACTGTAACAATTTGCGGTACACGTGGATAGGTTGTTTCTTTAGTGTGGCATGTTAGAAATTTTTTCTTCTCTTCCAGAAATAACATAATTAATAACATTAACCATTTGTTGAAAGGCGCAAGTCTCTATACAAACAGAAAAAGAACGCAATTTTCAAAATTAAATAACAGAATCTCTTTAGAGCATGAAACTCGAAAACTCTTAAACCATGAAACTAATCATAGTCCACAGTTATGCACGTAAAAAGGGGCGATCCATCGCTACATAGTTCATGGACACTCGTTTCATCGGTTTCGAATTACTGAAGGGCTCATAACAAAGGAGACAAAAACAATTCTCATATTCATCTTCACTTTCCGCACACACTTTCATTTTCACTTTCTGTTTTCCTTTGTGGACGATTTTGTTCCTTGGTTCCCTGCTGTAGCAATACGTTCTTTTCGGGTCCCCAAATTCATTTCAAGAAAACTGGATTCTTTTTTCTCGCCCGAACAATGTTATTGCTATTGAATAGTTTTATTCAACCTCTCTTGACATATCGTGACATGATTGAATGTCTCGATACTGCCAATGAACATTCTAAGCAAATAGACTTGACTACTCGACTAAACTATTTCTCAAACTTAATTTTTTAAACTATACATAAATCAGTGTTTAGAGAAGTACAGTGCAAATTCCAGTGCTTTCGTTAATATTTCCTTGTTATTCGTTGGCAATTTTCCACAATCTCTGTCACTTTCAGAATAGTTTATTAAATTTGTTGTTGTTGCTTGGCGATGTAAAAAATCCACAAAATTATTTTTTATTAAACAGTCTTCTTTTAGAGTGCCATGCAAATTCTTGCGTCTGCGTCCGTCATATGTTTCTGTTAATTGCAGCATTTTGGTGGTCTTGAATGCTTATAATTTATTTATTGAATTTTCTTTTAATGTCCGGACCTCTGCACGATACAAAAGAACTGACCAAACATAACATTCATTGGTTCGGTGTCTTAGTTTAAAGTTTATTTGTTTATTTGTTAGTTTAGTTTTTATTTGTATTTTTTTTTAGTTTAAGGAAGGTTGTTCAATATTCCCCTAATTTACTCGTATTCCGATAATTGGAATATCAGTCCTACTCAGGACCATACGATTAATTTTGTTATATTAATTGTCAGGCCTAAACTTGTGTTTGTTGTTATACATATTGTCACTTAAAATTGTCAAAGTCTCAACTGGCAGCTAAAAATCAAAATTTTTTGAAAACTGTTTAAAATTATAAGCTTGTCTTTTTTCTTTCATGTAAAGGTAGTAATTCATTTACTTATCTTACTTACTTCATTTGGAGGGTACAAATAAAGAAAATAAAAACGTCACATTGTAAGATCGGTTTTTACTATAGTCCGTTAAATTGCAAGTGGGCAAAGTAGCTCGATTTCTACGCCATTTTAACGTTTCTTTCTAATATGACCGCCAAAGGACAGTTTTTTGCCAAACCTTAGTTTTGCTACTTAATAATTTTTAATGGCTAGTAGGCTCAAGAAACAACAAGTTGTACTTTGGTTTTTGTTGCGTTTCCAGAAGTTTGTTTGTAGGTTCGTAGGAACCTCTATTTTGTGCTAAATATTTCAAAATCAAAATAACTTCTTTTATGGTGTCTACTTTTACAAAGAAATGTATTTTGGAACGCGGAACGGCCAGTGAAGCTTTGTCAATTTGCGGCCATCTTGGACAGAAATAAAATTATATGCCGGAGTTGTTTCAACAATTTTAACAATGTTAAACAATGGAGTTTTCTTGTACTCATTGCCTTTTAGGAAAATCAAACAAACATGCTTAAAACCGTACTAAAGAGTTGGTTGTGTAACTCCATTTGTGTGATCGAGTTACTCTTAAAACTGGCAATAACAAGAAACTTTTCGTCTTCATTTCCCATTCGGTCTCTCGGTCTTAAGCCAAAAGTGTTTTCTTCTCCCCTTCGTCTGTCAACCTTCAATCTCGCCTTCCCAGTACTCTTGAAACTAGCAACAATAAGAATCTTTTCGTCTTCATTTAGTGAAGGTTCGATACAATCTCATCAAATCCCATTCCGTCTTTAACAGCTTGAACAGGGTGTGAGGGTATAACCCAGTCCAATCTCGGATATCCTTAAGCCAGGAGTGTTTTCTTCTCTCAATACCACTTCGACCCTCATTCTACTCTTGAAACTTTCGTCTTCATTTAGTGAAGGTTAGATACAATCTCTGCAAATTATATTCGATCTTTAGCAGCTTGAAACAGGGTGTGAGGGTCTAAGCCAGTCCAGTCTCGGATATTCTTAAGCCAGGAATATTTTCTTCTCTCAATACCATTTCCACCCTCAATCTCACCTTTCACAGTTTAAGAAGTTTCGCACGCTTCTATTTTATTTTTGGTAGTCACTTTAAGCGTCCATATCTCACACTCGTACAGTAAAATAGACATATGGTCAGGATCTATGTTGCAGTTTATCCAAGTTTCAAAATATTTAAGGTTTTCAACCACTTCAATGTTTTTCCATTTATTATTATCATTAGTGGAGGTTCACGTGATTTACTTATAATCATACATTGGAGAATTTCTGGGACATCGGCATACCGCAGATTGATATGTACTGAGCGGTCGTAAACCTTTTTCTGAACTGGATAAAGCAAAAACATGTCAAGGGTTCGGTTTTTGAGAAACCCAGATATAGGGCGTTTTTCAATTTCTGATCCTTTTGAAAATTGCCTAAAACTTTTATTTATCAAAATTTTGGATTCGGATGAAAACATTATTATGGCATTTTTGTAAGGCAAATGCAGTGGCGTATTCAGATTTTTTCTACAGATCTCCGTTTTTTCATAAATGAATACAACCTTCTCATTTTATATGGCAGTCATAGGTGGCTATGGCGTTAAAAAAATGTCCGCATCGAGCCCTTTTCAGCCAAATAGTATGTTGATATTTGCGATGAAAATCGTTCGGAAATATAGGGCATTTTATATGTTAACGATTGGTAGGCCGTGCATAGTATGTTCAAAAAGACGTCACATAGCCTTTAAAATAATTTAATCGCAATTGGAACTATAAAAAAGATAGGGCCAATTTAGTGAAAAATAAGAAACCCAAGAGCTATGTAATATTTTACTTTATGTTTAGATATTATTTTAATTGGTTAATTTTAATATTTTTGATTATTTAGAAAACAAATTTACAGATATTTTAACCTAATAAACAATAAGCAATAAATATTAAAATTTAAAATTAAATGTAAATGTATATGTTCAAATTGGGCCCCGCATTCTTTACTCTGAATGGCAACTATTCACAGCAAAGGCTTCTCCAGTGACTTCCTCTAACTCTGTTTTCGTTTGGAAAATTTTATCTTTAAATATATGAGGCTGATAACAAATACTCCTTCCAAGAAATGGCTCCCAAAAACGGAACAACGCATGTTCTTAAAATATTTATATAACCTTCCTCTGTCAAATTTACATTTAAAAAACAAGGTTCCTCAAATCTACCTCGGAACATTTCTAGCCAAACTTCAAAACTTTAATTTTTTCAGCATTCGTTGCTTCAGCTAGTGACCATAAGGATATACTTGTATTTTCCAATGCTTCTCCAATTATATTTAATTCCCGGTGGTTTTGATTTTGCCTTGGTTTTTTGAAACTTGCATAATTTGTTAAATTATTTCTTAACGTTCAAAGCATTCGCTTGTCTGTTTGGTGCAGCTTTGGATATCTATTGGCTGCCCCTGGGGTTTTCGTTTCACGAAATGTAACACTATCAAATCATACTTTTCATAATTTTGGTACATTTTAAATTGCTAAATGAACTAAAACGTTAAGTTTGGCTACTAAAATTATGTGCCACAGAACAATAAATTCGATATAGAATAAAAGTGATGTCCTTAACTGACATTGACAGCTCTATGCACGGCCTACTAATTCATAAACAAAAAATGTCCTATATTTCTGTCTTTTTTCGTCACAGATACCTACAAAACTATATGGGTGAAAAGAGCTCGACACGAGCATTTTTTAAGTCATAGCCAACTATGATTGGCTTTCAAAATAAGAAAGTGGACTTTATTTATTAGAAAACGGAGAATTGTAGATAAAATCTGAATCCGATATATCGCGGTTGATAATGAAGATATCGCCATACGGTTTTAAGATTATTGATCTATTCGATTCGTCTGTTAATAGCATTTTCATAATCTATGAAACAAGCTTAAACTTTCTTCTGATGACCTCTGCAACACGTATCATGCTGTACAAGGCTTCACTAGTTCCCAAGTTGAACTGCAATTACACTCCCTCGCCCTGTTCGAAATACGTATAGAGACGTTCAGGTGTTACACCATTTTTGTAAATATTATTTCACAAAAGTCTCTATTTTGTTTTAACCAAAGAATAATAAATGAAAATTCGAGATTTGACGGGATGATATCTTAAGTAATGATGATTTTAAAAATAATGTTTTTACGAGATAGAGCGTGTCAAAGTTTCATTTAAATGTTTTCCTAAATAATGCAAATTTTAGAACGAAACTTAGTACCTGGAGACTTTTCGATATGGAGATTTGATCTGGTCAACACCAAATATACTTCTGCCAACCATATCATAAACGAGAAACCGTCCTTTCAGCCAAATAATGATGTTCAAATCGAACATTTTTGCAATAAAGGGATTTTGTTGAATCTCCTAGAGCTTTTCGACATTAACAGAGCAGTATCAAATATCAAAATTTCCTGTGTGGACGATCCGATTAGATTCACTTCACTTCACTTTGTTTTAGGGTCGTTATTGCAAAGCTTCTTCCCGTTTCCAAACCTTTCAGATCGCGGAAGTTATTTATTTATAATTTATTTATATTTTCAAAAATTTATTCATTTTCTTTTCACATTTTTTGGTTTCAATATTTAGTCAATGTTTAGTTTTCTGCATAATTATATTTTACTTAGTAAGCATATTTAAAGTTATTCAAGAATTTGTTCTTAGAACCTTCTGTTGTAGGTATTATGCAATGCAACGAAAACACGGCAGCCCTAATGGCCAGTTACATCGTTCAGGCTGAATGCGGCGACTTCGTAGCCGAAGATTATCCCGATCACACTTACCTATCCAGTTACAAGTTCGTTCCGCAACAGGACCACGATATGGAAAAGAAAATAATGGAGAATCATAAAAAGCACGCGTAAGTATAGACGGACAACAGTTTAACCTCGTTTATTCATTATAAAATTTACTATAGATGTGTGCTATATGCTTCGTTTTGATTTTGTGTGTTTCTAGCATAATTTCGTAAATAATGACGATTTCTGAAAAAAAAATGGTATGAGATGTGATTCGTTTAATTCATACATGAAAGGAGCTTCACCAACATATGTTTTCTAACTTTTAAAAGCTCATGACTTTTTGGACGACCCTGCGTTATCCGCAGTCTATTTTATGTTTAAGTAGCTAGAAGCAACCGGCTTACGAAATATTCTGGTGTAAAGTAGTTGAATGTGTTTTTAAATCCATGGTGGAATGTGGAAAATATCAGGTTGCTCATTGAAAAACCACACAAAGAAGTCCGAGCAACCGAACACTATACCTCATCGGCTGCATAGACAAACTCATTGACAACCTCATTAAACGCAGAATTGCCCATGAAATAGATACAGCGGGCGAACTAGCAAAAATATAGTTTGGTTTCGTGAAAAAATAAAGCAGTGGATGCTATGCTTAACGTAATAGAGCAAGAATCGTCGATGTAACTAGTGGCGTTCTCCCGAGATCTGTTGGACTTGTGGAATGTGGAATTTATCCTCTGATAATATACTGGGTATGCCGGCAAAAGTGCTGCTGGCTGAAGTATATATAGAGATGTTGGTACACAGAATGGGTAGACTCCAAACAATTATACAAGAAACCATTACCGTTATGATTAATAATTAGGATTACTACCATGGTGGACATAAAATATCCTCAAATTTTCTTTGACCAGGCGCTAGGATGAAGGGCCCCAGTCACAAAAGGAGAAGCAACAGTTATGGCGCTTACTCGATTCGGGCTAAATAGAAATCGTAGCTGCTAAGTACAGTGGCTTACTCGTGATTCTGTATGCAGCACCAGTATGAAGCTGGACCCTAAGGTACACTTGTTTCGGCAGATATAATAACGTAGAAAGGAAAAAGACCTCATGAGATCCTAGAGCGATATAACATTGCTGAAATGGAAATGGCAAACAAGTAGCGGCACTCTAGAGAACACGGGTAAATTACATATGAGGTGACGGAGCTACCATGTCGACACGGATGTTTTAAAACAGATTTTTGCAAAACGCCTACTTGTGCATAAAGGTTTAAATTACAAATTACAAATTAAATACAAACAGTAAATTCTAGGGGATAGAAAAAACTTGTAATGAGTAGAAAAAGTGCATAGATCGCTGCAACCCACCCAAGCTGTATTTTATGATAAAAAAGGATAAAATGAGTCAAATCACCCTTATATATCAACGTAAAATGAAACGACAATTTAGCGGTCCTTAAATATCAAGTAAGTGTACCGATGCAGTGCGTTCGCAATGTAGAATTATTAGTATTAATGTTAAGTCTAGATTAAATTCAAATTGTAAAATATTTGTAAGGAGAATAACTTTAAATATACCTACTATATAAAATATTATTATGCAGAAAACTAAATATTGACTAAATATTAAAACCAAAATATTGAAAATAAAGTGCTGATTAACAAGCAAAAATTTTGAAATAAGTAACTTATGAAAGGTTTCGAAAGAAGAAACTTTGCAATAACGACCCTAAAACAAGGTGATTCGAAAAGGTGAAGTTGAAGTGAAAGTAAGTCTGATCGTCCACACAGGAATCTTGATATTTGATACTGCTCTGGTAATGTCCAAAACCTCTAGAAGGTTCAACAAAATCCCTTTTTTGCAAAAAAATTTTTGCATTTTTGATTATTTGGCTTGAAGGACTTTTTCTCGTTTATGATATAGGTGGCAAAAGCATATTTGGTGTTGACCGGATCACATCTCCATATCAAAAAGCCTCCAGGTACTAAGTTTCGTTCAAAAATTGGCATTATTTAGGAAAACATTTAAATGAAACTTTGACACGTTGTATCTCCTAAACGCATCATTTTATATCAACTGGTTTGTCTTGAAAATACTTACGATATCATCCCGCCAAATATCGAACACTTATTAAATAACACCCTGTATATGAGAGAATTTTCAGCGGTCAGTCCCCCGCGGAGGCGGACTTAAATTTGTTGGAGACCGCACGCCGCTGCGAACTGTACGGGATGAAAATGCACCCCGCGAAAGATCATGAGAACGTGCCCCTCAATCTGGCGGTGGCGCACATGGGCATCTTGGTCTTCCAAAACTACACTAAGATCAATACGTTTTCGTGGGCAAAAATCCGGAAGATTTCCTTCAAAAGGAAACGGTTCCTGATAAAATTACACCCAGAGGGTTACGTAAGTTTTGGAGCGGGGGTGGATGGATCGGGGTTCTCAGCAACGTGGAAGCCTGGAAATGTTAGAATAATTTCATAATAAAATAAAAAGCCGAGAATTTAAATATATTTTCTTAATAGGCAGAAGAAATTTGACCTCTCGTGGTAGTACGTTCGCTTTTGTATCTATCGTTAAATAATATAATTATTTGTGAAGATATATAGGTAGATACTAGTTTAAATGGGAAAAAGAGTTGTAGTTTTGTAAGTTCTACTCAAAAGTTTTCCTAGTTTTTCAAGATATGACAGTTGACAATACTCGTAGATATTGAAATAAAACTAATTTTCGGCGGTTTTTTAAAATGCTCCTAACTGCGTAAAGTTTTTTTTTCTCACACTTGTCATTTTTTGATATATTAAAAAAAAACTTTTACTTTTAAGTTTTTTCTAATTCGTGCGAGAGAGAAGAAAGATGGAGAGGAGAGAGAGTGAGATAGGGTGAGAGGGTGGTACAGGTGAGAGAGAGGAGAGAGAAAATAGTGAAAGGGAGAGAGAGATAGTAGAGGGGTGAGGGAGGGAGAAGAGACTAGAGAAAGAAAGACTTAAAGTATTTAATTATAATAATCGAATTTTCGGAAATGTTTTGTAAAAACTAAATAAATTACTATGGTGATCCACGTGTTATTTTATGTAATAATCTTGAGATGAACAATGATAAGCTAAGAAGTAGAAGAAAAATCAAAAACGTTCATAAAAACTGTATTTTATTAACAATAAATTTTATTGAAACTTAAAATGTCTTTTTATGAAATATCTATTGACGTATCTGCTCTCGTTTCCGAGATCCCTGTATTAAACATCAAAAAAAGATCATCATCATGTTTCTGTGTTTCTTGATCTGAATAATTTTCAGTAAATGTCAAAATGTTTTTGATAAAATTTGTTCTATATTTCGAAATTAAACAAGTTTAGTTAACGTTTGTGTTAACAACTTAATTACACATCATGATTTATAAAACTTTTAAGTAGAAAAATTGTCAACCAACAGTAAATAGTAGGTGCCATTCTTTTAGTGCTCTATTTTTTCTTTTTTTTTAATTTATTTTCTGCCAAATTTCGTCATTTTCTTTGGCCAACTATTATCTGTATAGGCAATTTTATACAGTCACCCTTTTATAAAAGGCTAAATTCGATAAAATTATAAAAATGAAGTGTTTTTTTTTTTTATCTTTGGAACAGACAACTCATATAGATCCCTTTCTTTAAGCAAACCAACCAAAAATATGTAATAAAGGCCTTCTTTCAGTCGGAGAAGTCGATCGATATCTTTGAACCTGGAAACGTCGCTTTTCACAAAATTCATAATATGTTCGAAACGACAAGATTTTTATCTATATTATATGTAAAATAATCTTCAGGATGTGTTCTACTGTTTTTGATTTTTTTTACGAGTTCTGAAATAAGATGTCATCCTATAAGCCTTAACATTCAGTCTTAGTAAAACCAAAATTATTGTGTTCTTCTGAAAATTATCTTCTGTATTATGCCGACTAGTTGGTGACTTCGCTGAGTTCATTGGTTCAAAAATTAATTTTCTTTTCTGCGCCCCTATTCTCTGTTTTATTCGTGCAGTCCGGCGAAAAATATAGCTGAGAACCCTGGGTTGGTGTGCGTCGCATGTCCCCGCAATTTGTGCTACTTTTAGGGTTACTACAAGGATACGGTGGAGTTTTTTTTCGAAGGTAGGAACGAGTGTAAAAATTTTTGGAAGAAGTGCGTGGAAAATCACGGGTTCTTTAGGTGTTCGTCGGTGAAACACGTATCAAGACATAAGACAAGGGTACTGTCCAGGGGCAGCTCGTTTAGGTATATTTCAATTTTACTAGTTTATAGTCGATCTAATCTATAATACAGCGATCGTTGGTGTGGCGTGTCCATTACTAATCTTATATTGATTGTACTTACATGATTCAGTACACCAACGATCGCCGAAACATTTAAATCTGTTACTTTTTAAAAGCTCATGTGGTTGAAAAGTTGGCTACGATTTAAGGCTAAGTTTTGATTAGTAAAGTCTGAACGGATACATTTGATGACTGACATTTGTTTGTTTAAGAGTCCAAATAAGCGAAAGTTAGGTTAAGAACCGTATAGTCACTAGGATATACAAGGTGTTATGTTAGTGACATTATATAATCTAATTAGGTGAATCTGATCCCCACACTTATTCCGAGTAGATATTTTGTTGGGCTCAAGTCGGCGGAAAACATGTCTATGCCCAACAGAACCACTATGACCGCAAGAGGGCATCTCACTCTTAGACTGACAATCTCCAGGCCTGTAAAATAAACCAACGTTACCAAATAAGGTCGGAACATGTTAGCCTCAAATATTTCTTGTTAATTTCGACTCATCCGGTCGTGGTACATGGTTACAGCACAAAGCCAAACATGCCACATTTTGCGCCAAACTCATTTGAACTTCAAATCGAGTTCTAAGGATATTATGTGTTCTCAGAATAGGTACTAGTAGACCTACAAAAAGAGAGTCAGGTTTCGGAAATTTTGTTTTTTATATAAATATGTCACTATAAATATACTTGGTGTGGAATTGTTTTGCACTTTATTAATTGATATTTTTTATTTGACACCAATTTTGTTATTATTATTAACTAAACTTTTTATAACATATTAGTTTATAACAAGTTTCTTATCTTTCAAACTTATTTTTTATCACTACTTACTACTTAATTAAGTTTTTTATTTTATTTTAATGATGTCTTACTGCATTGTATTGACTCAAAATTATAGTCAAATAATTTCGTTGATAATGCAAAAAAATTAACAACTAGTAATTAGGTAACCAAATTAATTTTTTTAGCTGCAAGTTTTATAATTTTATGATGTATTATTGAAGACGTTGGAACTTTCTCCAGGCTTATAACACGTTACACCATGAACAATGTAACAAATAAACAGTGATGACTTATTTTGGAAGCATATTGTTTAAGTTAATTTTTGATTGTAAAATAAAAGTGTCTGGTAGATTTTATTTGTTTAAACACTACAAATAAAATTGTTTGTGAACCAGTCAGAGTTCATTTTGTATTACTAAGAACACTGTACTGTTTTTTCATCGAAATTTCAAAGATATTTAGTAATGCAGTCCAATTTAGGGTGAACTGGAAGTTTTCGTAGCTAGTGTAGAGAAAATCGCGATCAACCTTTATACTGGAGATGTTTCACGGAGTGATTAAATATTAAAAATGTGACTTTTTGAATAAGCTATGTAGAACCTTTTCTACTGTTCTTTTTTGGAAATAGTGAATTAGTGATTTTATTAAAAACAGGAAGAAGCCTTTTGTGGTGCTGAAAGAAAATAGTTTACAGTAGTGTTTGTTGCTTAGTGGTGGATTAGACTATTTTTTAATTCTATTTGTCTGTCAAAATATTCGCAATATCTATTAAAATACTACGGACATAAAGACATACTGACTTATTATAACAATGCCTTCTATTAAAATCGCTATATGAGAGAGGAGGAGCCGTTTTAAAATCTTTAAGGTAGAACGTAAAACTGCATAAAGATCAGATCAAAGTATTTTAAGAATGTCTATATATGCTCTCCTATTCTGTAGTGTGGCCAAGTTGTGAGTCATTATTTGCCCCGGTTCTAAGTGTGAACCTCTTAGAGAAGCCGTAATGTTTTAATGTTTGATGAAACTTTTTCTGAACTGCCTCTATTCGTTTTGTATGTAATTCATTGTTTTGACGCCAAATTATAGAAACACATTTCAAAACTGATTGAACATACGAATCATAAGGTAAGAAAGCAATTTAAATCCTAAAAATCATTTGATATTCTCATTACGAATTTCAACATTTGGTTAATTTTGGTACAATCAATAGGGCTGATCATTATTTACTGGTGATCTGTGAATTTATCCAGATGTATACACAACATTTTTCAGACTAAAAACCATATATGAACATTTATGGATGTGCAGATGCAGATTATTAACCGAGCACTACTCATTCAATAGATAAAAATCCTTTTTTAGTAGTTTACAGTCCGCATGAGATTTTATACATCTAAAAAAATTAGATTTTCTACAAATAGCAAGTAATTTGAATTTAGATTAAACTCTATATCATTTTCAACTGGGGCGCTTATGGATACCAGCAACTACAATTTTCTTTTAATACTAATAGTTGCAGTGTCCTTGCTAACAATGGGGGATACTTCTTAGTGTTAGTAGGCAGAAAAATCTAATGGTAGGACAAGCATTTTATAAGAAAAAATCGGAGTAATATTTCCTTCAACTTTAAAATTCATTCATTAAATTATATGATGTCATGTTAATAACATCCTGTATAAATACCTTGCCTATGCGTCTGTACTACTTTATTGTTTGAACACCAAGTTATAGAACCATATTCCAAAATGAAAAAATGTGGACATTGGACATGGCCGCGGACAATTCGTCAATACGACATTTTTTCGACTGTATTTTGCCCAAATATATCCAGATCCTAATGAATTTTTATAGAAAAAATTATCCAGCAATCGTAGTTTAAACAGAAAATGGTGCAGGTTGATTTGATTGTTGTGTTTGTGTGAAATTTATGGACATGCGCAGAAAAACGAACTGTTTGAATCATAGGTATGTGCAAGGAACTAGTCGCTTTTTACAAAACGGATTCCTTCTGCGCCGGTTTTTGCTTAGTCGAAATTGCTTGACTGAAACTCAGTTTCAGTCAAGCTCTGAAGAAGCCAACAGGATGATAGGCGAAACGTCAGCAATTACGACTAAGCAAAAACCGACGCAGGAGGAATCCAGCAGTTTTGTAAAAAGCATTACGACTGCATTAGCCTGTGGAAGTTTCTTTGAAAAATTAAGAAACTATTCAGAAAATGACCTAATAATGCCAAATTGTTGCCAAAAATATTAAGTAAGCAAATGATTGTCGGTAATTCGTTGTTAAATCATGGTTTCGTCTACAGGTATAGCGGGAAGACCCAAAAACAAGTGGTCGAATTCGTTCGTGACAATTACGTCAAGAGGCAGACGTTCCAAAGGTAAATTTTGCATGTAAAGCCTTAACTTTGTTTTAAAAAATACCGTTTTCCGCAATACATATTTAAGCAACAAACGTATGACCTAAAAGTAAGGGTCGTTCAATAAGCCCTTAGAACGAGATAGAAAAAGCAGATTTTGACAATTTTTTAAAAAAATTATCAACATAATTTCTAATTTTTAAGCCCTCGTCTTCTCGCGACTTGTGAGCTCCTCCGAGCTTAAGAAATTACATTGGCCAGTTGGTCTGTATCTTCAATGATTCTGAATAGTAATTATGCACTGCATTTTCCCGATTCTTCAACCAAGAGACCTGTTTTCCTCCCACGCCCCTACGACCCTTTATTTTTCCTTTGATAATAAATTGAAAAATACAGTAATGTTCATCCAGGTATGACAGTTTATGATACTTAACAGTTTGCAAGAGTTCTCGAACAGCCTTATTCAAAACAGCCTCAGTTGCATAGCTACACATGATATTACTAGCATTTATCTATACAACCATATATCAAACGCCTCTGACGATTGATCGTGGCAGCCTTGAGGGTCCAAATCTCAGTCTCATACATCAATCTTCACCATATATAGCACTTTACCATTCTTTGAAAAAGTTTTTGATATATATTGTCATTACAAACGAGTGAGTTGAGTGAAAGTTGTGTGTATGTTGTACATTGTATTTCCTTGTTGTGATCAAGTTCAGTCAGGTAGCACTCAGCGTAAGGTATCTGGATATGCTTGGCTGACAAATATGATGAACTTTGTTTTATCTCCATTTGTGTTTAACCTCATTTCCTCTCCTGCCATATTAACTGAACTCGAAAGATGTTGGAGACTCTGGACAGCACATCCTTACTTAACATTTATGAGCTTGTCATGGTGTACCCTGTCAAATGCCTTTTCGCAGTCGATGAAGCACACTCTTTTGGAGAAGTGCATTTAACGCAAACTTCGCCTTCCCCGTAACTTCCTCCAACTCAGCTGTGGTGTCTTTCGGCTTCAACCTTTTCAAAATCATCCTGATAGACTAAAGTTGTTTAAGGATTTACTGAATGACCCTCGGATGATTGCAAAGACCACTGTGGTCAAAACAATTGCTATCGTTCCTATCAGTTTTTTTTTAGTTATTTTTTTAGTTTTTCGCTGTTGGTCACACTTTTTTGCAGACGCAATTATCAATTTTATCTCTCATGTTTATTGATTTTAGAGCAACCACGTAACTGAACGTATTTTCACAAATATGTGTTTTAAAAATCGGAATATGCGAAATACGTTTTTAGATTATATCAATCAGATATGGGGAATTTGTTTCCCCACGGACCTTATTAATAAATTTGTACATACCGTTCATGTAGTGTTGTATTTCAGAGTTGGCTTTTTAGTACTAGACTTGTTAAAAAGTTTTTGTAGTAGTGGCGTGCCATTTTGGATACCCGATATTAGGTTGTTTCTTTACGTAAAATGCATGGCGTTTAAAGAAACCACTTTGGAAATTGTCCAAAATGTACTGTTACCAAATGCTTCTTCGCTTGGTATTATACAAAATCATCACCCGTTTTAGAAAGAACCGCCGATAACTAAATTTTATCTACCTTAGTACAATTGGGGCCATCCATAAGTTCTGTCGCGTGCATTTCATGATTTTTGGAACTTTCCCCACCCCCATTTATCCGTGGGACGTTACATTTAAAATTTATTAAAAAGAAGTAGTAAATGGCCGACAATGTTTAAAGCTTATTTGATTACTCTCGTACCGCTGATTTCGGTACTGTTTGGAAATGACGTTTTCCTCTATTAATAAAGTTCGAAGAGTAGATGGCGCACACTGGTGTGAAATATGTGAATAACGGAAAAAGCCCTTCACCTTCAAAGTTGGTCATCGTACTAAAATCGGGTTGGTTTATTTAATTTAATATGAAAAATATATACGAGATGCTATCAGTTTGATTTATGCATGTTTACGCACACATCTTTCATAAATTGCTAAAACAATTAGAGTTTAGGTCGATGTGTACCTCAAAAGCTAAAGAATGAAATATACTATGAACAGATAAAATATCGAACACATTCATTTAAAAATCAGGTGTGGAATTCGAGCAAAATTGCAAAAAATATGCATGGTGGGTCAAAAAGTAGATGTCGATTCCCTTTCTTAAATGTAAAACCATTTCATAAATCAATTTTCGAATTCTATGTCAAATTGCAAATTGATGTAACATTCGCTATACTACTTTTCATAATCAAAGCAATAAAAAATAGAAATTTAATTTTCAGTTAAACAGGTAAGTAGTTAGTACCAGTACAGTTCTTAAATTTTGATAATCCCGTAGACTACAGTTTGACAAAAAACTATGAAGGAAATGTGCAACTTCAATCCAATTTTCCATCGTCAGATAGTGTTTAATGATGAAGTCATGTTTTGTTTGAATGGTACCACCACATCCACAAAAAACCAATGTTTGGCCGGAGATTTTGAATTATAATATTGTTGGAGATTATTCTTCTATCAAAATCTTCCTAGAGTCCGATATTTATAATTTCCTCAAATTGACTGGGGATAATTAAAACCAAAAGTGTATGAGAAAAAACAACAAAACTTGGATGATTTAAAATTTAGAATTAAATACGACATAATGATATAGAGAACAGGATATGTGACATGAATTATGAGTGAAATTTACGCAGAATTCGAAAATGGATTTAAAAAAATGGTGTTTCATTTAAAGAAAGGAATAAATTGGTTTAATAGTTTAATCTCATCGGTCAAAAATTGAGTTTTCACTTGTATTTTAACTAAGTTTGAACAACTGGGCCTAAGAATATATGCAGACGGTGCTACTTAATTATATTTACATTACCTTAACTGAAGTAAAAAAAAATCTTAAGTTGTAGTACTCAATCGCCGTCTTTTTCACCAATTTGGTGTCACTATTTTCTGTCCCTGCTATGTTTCGATAATGACAACAGTCAAAAATTTGATAACAAATTTTGCGCAAATATTGAGCATTTTTTTTATATAAAAAAAAATAAATACAAAAAATTTAGGGTTGTCAAGAAAACTCTAATGCAATTTTGAAAATGTCTTTTTAATGAATTTTAATTTAATTCTATTTTTTTTTATAAAATTCTTAACTAAAATTTGGATTTGAACGACAAACTTTTATCAGTTATTTCAGTAAAAAGCGAATTCAATTTTATGTAACAAAAATTCGTATGTTAAGGTTCTTTCCTAATTTCGGCGTTGCCAGTATTAGCACAGTAAGTGGCAAATATTTTGGATTGTGTCACCTTTTAAATGCGTTAATTTTCCTAGTTTATTTTTTGTTTTTTCGAAAAAACAACCAATGGATCGACAACATCTGATTTGGTCACCAAAGAAATCGTTTCTATTGTCGTTATTTGATTTGATTGAATTTGTGTATTGATTTCCATTTCAATTTTTTGAAAAATTTAAAAAAGCTGCTGCTGAAGGTTTTAACCATAAATATTTTTTTAAATCCCATCCTGGGGGTATAATTCAGATACATTAAATTTCTGCTTATAGAAAATGAAGGTTAAAGGGGTTCATTAATAGAAAATCAAATTAACGTATTTTATAAGGTTGTAACATAGCCTTCAAACCTTATCATCTTCCTATATTAATTAGTTGATCGGTTTTGGATTGGATTTATTAAAAATCAAATTCTTCTGTGGCGGCGAAACGTCAGCAAATTCGATTCGTGAACAACTGACGCAGGAGGAATCCATTTGTAATATATTACAGTAACCTGTGCGAGTTTTTTTGAAATGTGAGCAGAAACATAAAAAATAGTGAGAAACAGAAATTGATGTTAGCAAAGGTAAATACAGCCAAAAGCAAACCATGCACACAATAAGGATTATTTTTCGGGTTCAAAAAAGCGAAACGAATAAAACACACATTTTTTTAAATGGAGAAACCTTATTTTAGAATTTTGTTTTGAATTCGTTTTTGAAATCTTTCAACTTTTTTATTAATAATAATACATACTTAAAGCTAATAGTTTTTACAATATTTAATTTTTCAGAAACGCTGGTTTTCACTCAAATTTGATATTAGCGTTATTCGAAGACGACGTAAAAGATATTGAATTTTGAAAAAAATGTATTTGGATCTTTTTGAATTGAAAAGTCTCGATCTTTTTAAATAAATAAATAAATAATTTTTTAAAGATCTTACTAAAATACTTTAATTGCGATTTATTTTAACTTTTCTAATATTTACCCTTCTTTCTGTCTATGTTAGTTTTGGTTAGTTTGTTGAGATTTAAAAAAGAAACAGGAGAAGGATCCTGGAGCCGCATAAAGGCAAAATAACGGTCAAATTTTAGATTCACAAAAAAAGTAAATAATATGAAGTACCTATTATAACAAATTTTGTATTTACCATTTTGGACAGAATGAACTTTACTCTATAGTTGATTCACCCTGTACAGTAAAACCATATCAACAAACATTTTAAATTTAGTATTCTAACTGTTTTAATATGTTATTGGAAAGAAAAAAAAGGTAAACGAAAAAACGATTAATATATCTTTTACTTTGTTTACTTGTTGACAGATTTAGCTTTCTGTGTTTTGCATAAATGGTTCTTAAAGGTTGTCAAAATTATTATCAACTTTATAGAGATTCTATCGATTATGTTAAAAAAACACCCGTTTAGATTTTTAATATCTGTTTTTTTGTAGTTAAAGAATAGAGTCTCATTATATTAAAAGGCAGTAATTACTACGTCCAGTAGTTCTCGTTTTTTGTTAATAATGACAGGATCGTAGAGGTACCTTTCTTTTTTCTTTATTTCTTGGTTCATGCTACTATTTCAAATAATAGTGTCATATCATGCAATAACGCATTTAAATCAGATGACTTCACTGTAGAAATATCATAAAGCAAAAATTATTATCAAATTTAAAATAACTGTTGTTGGTACTGTGTAAAAAGCTGTAAGAAATCCCTCAAATTTTATTTAGTGTTATTCTGTAATTTATGACATTCGAAATAGTTTTTATCGTATTTGTCAGCCATTAAAAAAGTATTATTTAAAATATTTGCAATAAGCTTGATCGGCTTGTATAAGAATGAACCGACAAAAGTTATAATGGGACTTAGTGGGCAGTTAGGCTTAGGAATATTTGGAGGAATATACGTGTAACTTTTTCATCGATTTGAGAAGTAAGTACTTTAACTTATTGTTGGGTTTTTGTAGTAGGATCAAAAGATGGCTTGTTGATATCTAGATATGTTTATCTAAGCTAACATTACACACTATATTCTTATGTTCCTCCAAAAATTAAACAGATTTATTTTAATATTGCTGATGTTTCGCTAATCATCCTGTTGGCTTCTTCAGATGTTAACTGAAACTGGATTGCATTGTACTTTATACCTGCTGATATATAAGATAATAACATTTCATGATTGGGTTCGGCAACTGCTAATGAGTATATTTGTCGTGCTCTTTCAAGTTATTTAAGCTTAGTTGCTATTTTTTGTCCTATTTATGCAATGTATTCTTTGTCGCATAGGCACGGAATGTTGTCTACTTGGGAGAAAATAGACAAATGGTAATCTATAGTAAATTTCAAGAATCCCTCCAAAATTTTCTTAAGCATTTAAAGTCTATACACCTCAACATACGTTTTCCCATTCAAATAGAAACTAATAATAATCTCCTTTTCTTAGATCTTTTTATTAATATAAAATCATACCTGATATTTGGTCATTTAGTTGACAGGAAATCACGCACAATCTTGAAACCGGAAATCAAATCTTGGTCGGTCACACAAAAATGATTGCATGTAATAAATTCTTTTACCAAAGAAAATTCCGAGAATCTATAAAAATCTCCAATGAAACAAGCGATCTTAACTGCTATTCAGGTCTTTGCCTGCCTTTAGCTGCGCCCCCCTCAAACAATATATAAGCGGGTACAGATTAGAATGTCAGTTTCAGTTAAGCTATAAAGAGTAAGTTTAATTCATCAATAACCGACGCAGGCAAATAGTAATACATAACCATTTGATTTTTCATTAACTCGCCCCAATACCCATCAACTCCTTAATTTCGAAAGAGAGGCTGTTAATGCTGTTTATCATCATCCTTTTTTATAAACCATATAGCTACTAGAGCCTGCCTAATGAAAAAAATGTTGGGAAAGTCTTTTCTACGCCAGTATTTTCTCAAAATCCCAATCAATGTTCAGGCAAGAACTCCTTCTTGCCTGAACATTGATTGGGATTTTGAGATCGCTGTTTATAAAGCAAATGGCGCAAAGTGCAAAGTTAGTGGGTGAAATGTAGAGGCACGCACGGAAGATCATTCCCAACTTTACGTAGTAGGACCACTTTATTGTCTAATATCTATATGCTATAAACACATTTTTAGTAAGTAACGAAAAACAAAGCCAACCCTACCTTTTAACATAACGTCAACAAATCGTCACAAAACCTACGTCTTAACCGGATAAAAACTAACCAACTTGACGTAATAGTGAAATTTCGAAATAGTTGCAAAAACTTCGTATTATCATTGAAGGCAAAATTGCAAGATTTTATAAAAATAGATGTGACGACACGAAGCTTGCCATACTATGTCACACCTTCGTTATTTTTGAAGTTTTCCGTTATTAGTAATCCCCGCCCCCTTGTCACATAACAGTTGGACGTCTACGCGCGACGCAATTGATGGATGGTCGCTCGTGACGTGTGGAGCATGATTGTTTAGCCTTTTGAATAATGCGTTATATTTGCAAAAGTGCTGTTTACCGACAGGTCGTTAGTTTTGTACAGCTTTTCGAAGACGAATTGCGTCGCGGTTAAGGGAACGAGGATGTAATTAGTCGCTATTTTGACATTTACCGTTTCTGCACGCAGGAATAGTAAATCGGGTTGTACTGTAATACACTTCATTTATTCAAAGGGTTAAACGTTTTCCCATGCCGCGAAAGCGTTTAGCTGGACGACTTTTTCGAAAGCTTGATAGTTTGGCTAGATTCACTATGTTCTAAGTGTGTAGCTGTTCATTTATATTTTCTATATACAGGGTGTCTGAGAATAACGTTCGAATAATTTTAGGGGCGACTCTACATGAACGAATAAGACTTTTTTTTTCACATGAACATGCGAGTGTGGAGGGTGTATACAATACATGGTTTTTTTATCTCGTTGAAATTTGATTGCGTTTTTAAGACAACAGGCTCGTTTAGGCTTAATTAATTAAAATTAGGAAGTGCCGTGGCATCACAGATATTTTTGACAAAAAATGCCTTTTGCCGTTTTTTTTTTCAAATTGAGCAACTCAAAAAGCAACTTTACGAGAAAACAAAAACAATTTATTGCATGTGCTTAATTGAAGGCAAGTTCCATTAGGTTTTTATGTGAAGATTTTTTAAAAGTTTGACACCCTGTGTCTTTAAAACCATGCATCCATTTCCGGATCCATGATCATATCAAAAACAATTTATTCCCGTAGAATCGCCCCTTTAATTATTCGAGCGTTATTTCCGGGCACCCTGTATATACGGCAGTGTTAATATGGCGTTATGTTTTAATTTCGCTCCCGTTGTTCTGTGTGTTTTTTCATTATTTAGCGAAAGTATAAAAATTATGATAATAATAATGATAATACGCGGCGGCTCGTACCGGTGAAATTGTCAAGACGTTCCTCATTCTCTTGCCGTAGGTCCCACTCTTTCCGGCATTCGAGTGCCCACTCGAGTGCCTCCAACATGCATACGAGCACTGTCGGGAACAGCATTTCTGCCCACCCTCTCCTTCCTTTGGCTGACAGCAATTTGAGCGGTAGGTACCCCTCCGTCGGTGTATGTGTGTGTGTTTTTTTTTTAGTAATTTAGGCGCATGCTTTTTATGTTGTTTTATTTTTTTGTTCTTTCGTTAATGAGTCTTAACCGGAGCATATGAAGCTTGCAAGTTTTTTCCAAAAGAAAACTGCGTTCCCAACTTTTTTGTCCTTATTTGACGCTAATTATTATGGGGGTTAGCGATAAAACTATGGGGCTTGTAATAAACGCAAGGAGTCTATGTCAAATGCAAATTAAGGCGGTGGCAACAGGTATAGAGATAGCGCTATTCAATTTAAATTCAAAAAGTACAATATATTTTGATTCTGTAATTATGAAATAAGCTGTACAGAAAATAACAGAAGTATAGTGTAAAAAAATATTCATTCAAATTCATATTATTTTGCTTATTAAACGGCATTAAGTAGGAATTATTTTTTAACAAATTAGGTACAGTTAAATTTTAAGTTATGAGTCTTGTGCGCTAAACCTAAAAAATAATAAAACTCTTTAAATAAATAAATTTTTTTTTGCAAACTATTTGAAGTTCGGCCGTTGAAAATATTTATAAAAATTTCATTGTAAACCATCACATATTTTTCCACAAAAATTTTTGATAAACGATTTAGTACGGTTGCCACAACTTTTCCAATAGCAAATACTATCTGTTTGTTGTAAATTCTGCTCTTCTCTGCTCAACCCATGACTTTGGCCATATCTATCCAAAATACAGTATGGGCAGCATACGCAATACATTTCTAATGCATCGCCGATAATCGTATAGCAATCCCAGAGATATAATATGATTTTAAATATTAAATTAATGTTTTCAATTTGTTTGTGAAATCTGTAATAAAAGCTGAAGATTATCTGATTAGTTTCTATTCCCGAAACTCTAAACATTATTTCAGATATAGTAAAATCCGAGAATCTGGAAAAACCAAACTCATCTTAATTGAAAAATGCTTACCTGGGACATATTTATCTTATATCGGTTAAATTTTTGAACAGCTATGGGATGGTTTGAGGAGTGAGCGCGGTATACAACCAAGTACAAAAAATATACTGGCCGACCCATTATGGAAAAGGAATTGTAAAGACTTGGCGTTAAAAATCTTAGAGTTAAAGAACGTAATTAATTACACCGTTGTAAAGTTAGCATAAATTCTATTGTTTTTCGTTAAACGGTTTGTGTTCTACACTTGAAAGAAAGTGGTGAGTGTTCGAACATTTCCGCAAATAAATGTTAATTGCTTCAGAATGGAAGAACGCGTTTTGTTGGAGTTATTGTAAAGGTCTCTTAGGCTATTAACGCTGAGCATTTTCATTTAGACTGTTAGTATTGACGTTAGAGGGCGCTTTGTTCAATCTTTTAGCAAAATATAAATAAAGTTACTGTAAACGTACAAAAATTATATTACCACTCATTCAAAATTCAAAAATTTTTAAATCCAAGTGTGCTTTGAAAAACAAAGTAGAAAAAATTATAATGTGTTGTTTAAACGTGAATCATATTTACATTGGAGCTATTTATAGTGTAATTTGTAGACGTCAGTTGCAAAAAATTTCTTTTTCATCTGTTCAAGTTGCTTGATATGGTGCATGTTTATTTTCAAACCCTTGAAACCACAACTGTTCGTTTTAGAGCGCTTTGGGGTGGATTATTCTGCATTAACACGCAAAGCGCAATTGTTGTTTTATCGGTCTTTTCTTATTTTAGTATATTAATTATTATAGATATTGGCAAACATGATGTTGGCGTTTTGACAGTAAATTTATTAATTGATAATTAATACTATAAAATATTTAATAATATAATATATAATAGTTAATATTTTTATTTTTTATTTCCTTTACTGATATTATAGGTTAGGAAAGAGATATCGAAATGTGATTTTCACTAGCACGTTGGGTCCTTATTTAGCGTTTCAATAAAACTCATATCGTTGCACTTAATTGTTTGGAGAAAATGATTTTATTTATAATGTAACACCCTCTAGCAGTGACACAAGTAATCGAAATCAATCCGCTCAGGGCAGCGTGGATGACCTAGCCCTTTTCAACGACTCCAAGTCTGACAAAATCCCTTCAGAAATGTTCGAACTCCCCCACCACTTTCCATTAAAATCTATTCTACGAAAGAGAATCGAATTCTTCTTAATTGTTAATTGGCTACCCGGTACTTACACAAATTTTTGGTAATCTACGTGTTTTTTGATTTGATTCGTTGAATTATAAGATTCGTGTGACTTTACAAAAATTTGTCTCCCGTTCGCGTTCCAGTGGAAGCGTCCAAGCTCTCAGCGTCCCTGGGCTCGATGGGACCCGGCAGAGCTATTATGGAACGACGCCCGGATTCTCCGACGACGAAATCAGCCTCTCACCGCCTCGGCACAGCTATATCCTGGAGCTCGGCCCCAGACACCACCAATATCAGTACGCGGGCCATTGTTACGGTAAGTTTTTTTTAATGTTTCCATGGCTTCGGTGGACACATACAGGTTATCTCATAGGTATTTCGCAACACTTAACTTCCTTGGTTCGCGTGAAGGTGGTAGACAACGATTCAGTACAAATACTACTTCCATTATTGACGATACTTTCATCGTTTGCAATGGAATCGATAGACAGCCACGTTCCTTTCTCAATCATCTTAATTCTTTGCGACTGGCCATTAAATTCATTCTAGATGTCCTGTTAAGTAGAAATAATGGCTCTATCAGCACCCCTGAATATAGGAAAGTTTTTAGATTTCCAGCCTAACTATTCTGAAGCAACCAAAGCATAGAATCATCCAAACACTCAGCAAAAAAGCAATCACAATATGAAGTATGTAGAATTAAGCAGCATTAAAAAGGATTTGCTTCATAACGGCGACACTTTTACGTGGCGATTTAAATAATAATATATTGATGTAACGAAAGGAAAAATGACAATCTCTTTTTTTTCTTAGCCTACCTTGATGCAGCTCTGGCTGTTGACCGGCACAATTTGGCAATACTTGACGGCACTCGAGATTTTAATTCTGGCACGCGGAAAATACTGTCACGTTGTTCTGTACCTGATTCGTACTAGTCCCGATCACAACGGATTACGACACCGGAGCTGCATACGAGTTTTTTATGGCCATATACCCAGTGAGATTGTCGCCAAAATACGCGGAGAATATAACCGTAGCAATTAATTAAATAAAAATCAATTTCACAAATTGTTGCATTGTTTCAGTTATGAGACTCTAGAACTGGTCACTTGTAACATAAATTTTGAACGATCTAACATTATTCCAAATACAAGCGCCCTTTCGCCATTTTTAAGTGTTTAAAAACGCTTATGCCATACACGAAAGCACAAACAAAATTTGTTGAAAGATTGCGTTATTTTTAATATTTATTTTTTTAAATAGGAAATCCTGCACTATTATTTGCGGCCAATGCAGAATATTACTTGGGACAAATAAACATGTTGATTTCAAGGATGTAAAGGGGAAAAAGAGAAAATTTGAGGCAGTTTTTTCTTTCTATACCGACCGTATATTTTCCATGGTTTTCTTGTTTTTCTTGTTCTATATTTTCTATTGTGAAAATGAATAGTGAATGAATATAGTAAGGCGGGAGAGTTATAAATCATTAATAAAAATTATTATTTTCATTCCTCGCCACCAAAACTAAACATTCTGATTTGCAAGAATAGTTGGAATGTTTTCGAATATGGCTGAAGTTGATCAGTCAACAATAAAGCGACTCGTGCTTGAGGATAAACGAAGCCCCATGAGGTCACACAGTAAAAGAAAAAAGAAACTTAAAAGGAAATACCAACTTTGGACAACATAATAAAAAGAATAATTTCATTCCACTTATGGGTAAGAAGAAATTGTGGAAAATTGTTCAGGAAATGAATTTTCGTTACGAAAAGTTTTGAAGGGAAAACTAGAATATCTATTATCTGGTCGAAAGTTGGGTAAAACTTTCCAGGTTAAAATTTAAAAAGCTCGAGGCGAGCTTTCATGGGCGGATGGTCCGTTGCAATTAAAGGTTCCCTCCGGAAAGGGTAAAAGAATTCACATTCTTAGTAGATATTGATTTTTCTGTGGTGGCTGACTAGCAGTTATTGTCATGGCTCAAGACCACCAGGTAACCACTCAAGAACTTCCGAAAAAATAATCTTAAAAAAAAATGACATCATTCATTCGCTTGCTTTACATAAGAAGAAAATTCAGATAGGTATGCTGAAAAAGAGATTGTAAATCGAAATTTGTTGTAGATGAAATCGCTTTAAAAGGAAGTGTGACAGTGTTTCTCCTTCCGCAATATCACTGTCATTTAAACCCCATAGAGTTGGTGTGCTAAAATGATTGACGTTGAAACAGTCCTGCAAAAGGGGATAAAGACGGTGGATTGCGAAAAATGAAGTGCCATAATTATAATCATGTATAACTACCTGTAGTAACGCCGCTGTATTATTAATTTCATTCACCAAACTCGTCCCTCTATTGGATGTAAATTTGAGGTGTGTAACTCTTAAAAACTGAAATACGGAATTTGTAAATGATATTTAATGAATGATGCCTATCATTGACAATTTACATTTTAAAACCATTTCGCATTTAAAAACAGGGTAGACTTGGCTAGGGAAGTGCATAAAATGGCGTCGTAATGACGTAATAGTTTATTTAATATGGGTTTCACTGTGCTAAAGATTTCATTATGCTCTATTATGTTTTTTATTCCAACTATTTTTTGTGTTTTTGGTCAGGAAAATTGGTACCCAGCCAAACTGGAGAAATAATGGATAGCATATCTAGATTTATGCAAGGAAAATAACGCAAATAGCGGTTTTCAAATACCGCAGGCCAGTAACCAGTTATTGCCAAATTTTCCAATTAATTTTTGGCGTTCGATAATGCAGTTATCATAATGTAACAATCAAACCCAATATAACTTATGCAAGTGTAAAAGCAGATATGATTAAATGAAAAAAAATTACCTTTTGACCAGAAATTAACAAAACCTGAACTGTATAAAATAATCCAGGCTAACAAGTATAAATTTCCGCCACTCCACAAGTTAGACAGCCTATTAAGGACCATGGTCACAAAATCCTTCGGGTACCGCCATATCATCCCGACCTGAACCCAATAGAGAAAATTTGAGCATCAGTGACAAACTGGGACGCCGCCCGCAACACTGACTTCACATTGGCTGCTGTAGAAAGGCCAAAGGTCAAAGATTTGAAGAACTACCAGCTCAAGAGTGGATCGGTGCCTATGTGAAAAAAAAGGACATTTACAAATTGAGAGAGAACGCCTTTTAGATTCGACAATGAATGGCTTACGATTACGATGGATTGAGATCGTCAGCTATGGCGTTCAACCTTTATCAACATCAGAATCGGATTGAAAATTTATACTGAAATGGATGTCGATATAGTAATGTATATTTATAAGTTTTAAATTTCATGGAATAAAATTGATAATTGTAATAGCTTTTTATTCAACTTTTTGATGGATGCCATGTATTAGTTAAGTATATTTATACCCTACTGAAATTTGAATAAGAATGTCCGTTATGAGATATTTTTTGCAAAGCTCGCCTTCATTTGTTATTCCAACAACAAATATTCGGATGAAATTTATGAATATTGATAGTAAACAAATAATTATCAAGAAATTAATAACCCGGCAGTTGCATCCTGATGTTTTAAGCTATGTGACCAGTCATTAGCAAATTCTCACGCATCGGATTGCTTCTGGCTATACCTTTCCAAGATTGGTTCTACTCTGATTGAGTTTGGTACGTAATAATGAAAGCTGGAAACTTGGAACATGAGAAACAAGAAATACAATACGAAGTTAATAGACTTAAAATGAAATTAATTTTTTTTTTCAAAGAAACTTCCGCATTCTAGTGCTATTTACAAAACTTCACATACCCACACGGACCTTGACGGATTTGCACCGTCCCGCCTAAGAATCATCGGTTGTCAACTCTCTTGAGCCGTAAAACTGTCTCAGCCCGAGTCACCGAACCCAGAATTAAAACACCTTACATCTGCTCTTCTCTCTAATAATTTCCACATTAGAGATATTAAGCGTTCCATCACAAAATACACTTCCCCACAACCTTACAAAGTCGATGGATCCGAAAGCAACTCCACACTTATCTCTGTTCTCCTTACATTGAAAACATCACTGACCGATCAGATATCCAAAATTCTTAATAAATATAATTTCAAAATCAGATTTACCACATTTACCACAAATACATTGGAGAGACTGGGCGAAAAATATCAACTCGGCTCAAAGAACATGAAAGAGCCTGAAGACTAAGACAAATAAATTCATGAGCAACATGATCACGAAACCGGTCATAAAATTTTATTCTATAAAACTAACATTCTTGCTTGTAATAAATTCTTTTTTCTACTCCCGTTTGTAAAATACCTAATTACTCACCAATCTAGCGTGCGGGAAGCGTCACTTTACCACATCAGTTTCGTTTCCCATGAATCCGATCCACTTCGAACATTTCCGGGATTTTACCGCACGGATTTGGAAGCAATCGGATGTTTTCGGAGATATTTCCCACGCTTTGAATTTTGACGTTTGTCAATTCTGACAGTCATGTCAGTGAATGTATTCGTGTTGTTTTGCGAAAATGTACCCAAAAACTAACAGTCGTATGCAACACGTTAAACTTTTTAACTCACTCGTCAAATGCCATTTACCGCACTTGTTGCATAATATACTATTACCAACGAAAAGTCCGAGAGTCTATAGAAATCTATAAGCAACCTAACAATCTTAACCGCGACTCAGGTCTTCACCTGTCACCAATATGGGAATCAGTCATCCGAGACGGTGTTTATGCCCCTCATTCAGCTCCGCCCGCTCAAACAATATTCATGCAGGTACAGACCAGAATGCGTTCCTGTTTCAGTTGAGCTGTGAAGAAGCCAGCAGGATGATTGGCGGAACATGCGTCTAGTAGTATTGTTCGCGTACTGAACGCTCGAAGTTCGTCCGAATTTGAAGTAGTGAACACAATTCAATAAATCATCTCTATTTTGTCCATGCGCAAAACGAGAACAGTACTAGTATTATAGAGCCTTGGAGTGCAAATCCAAGTGCTACAAATCGGTTGGTCTAGATGGGCAGTTCCAGAGTTCCTCAGCTCTTTTGAAGTAAATAATGTCAAACTTGGTCAATTCAATGTTAGCTAGAAAAAGAAAATGTTTTTCCTTTTGGAACTTCTCTTGGTCGCGTTATAGCCGTCACTTCAAATCCCGTTTTAACAAAATATTAACGGCAATGTGGTCGATAGGTACCGCGGCCGCCGGCTGTTGCTCCGATGACGAGCTCGCCCTCTCCGACGGAGACCCAGTCGGCGTCGGCCGCGACGTCTGCGACCGCGAGCCCGTTGGCCACGCCTCCCCGGGAATCGGGACCCGCGCATGCGGCGCTCACCAGGGCCAGCCAGCCGCCCCAGCCGCCGCCGAGGGCTACGTCACCCCTCGCCGTTCACGCAGCTGTTCACAGGGCCGACACAGGTAAGCTCGATATTCGGACTGCCCAGAACATGCCGTCTGACGTCATACAGAGAGGACTAGTCAACTTAGCTCCACTTTCGCAAATAACTATTGCGACTATGGATCGTGCGATGAGTATTGTGACTGTCAGCACATACCTTCCAAAATGTATGAGAAACTTAAATGTTTGCCCATGTCATTGCGTTTGTAAGCAACCAGATAATCGGTATGAATTTTGTTCTTACTCTTACCGCAAGGTGTCACATTATTTGTATTTTTTTTTCTTCTTTTTAAATTACGCAGGCACAAGATACGACGTCTCGGCATAGTTTTAACCATTTTGGAAATATTTATAAGATAAAATTCATTTGAAGTTCATTTGTTGCCGAGACTTGTTGTGAAAATTCATCAAGCATTCTCCGCAGTTCCACCTTTCAGAAATATTTTTTATTGCATGTATTAAATAGTATAAGTGTAGGTTTAGGGCCAAGTGCACAAAAACCATCAACATCAGAAGCTAGATATATTTTTCATCCATTTTTGGTTTTTAGAAAAAAACAACATTATGTAGAAAACCAAACTTATATTCTTTTAAATGTAACCACCTGCATATTATTGCATTAGTACTGCCTTTTATACTACCCATTATAGGGTTGTTATAGTCTATACTCAGTGTTTTCGGATTATAGCCATTTTTTCCTAAAAATGTCCTACCTATGTTTCCGACAGATGTAATTTTATTATGCTCAGTATTAGAAAACATGAATTTTCTTGAAAAAATCTAATGGAACACTACTGTATATTATATTTCCATGACTCCTACTATTAATACTATTTCAGTTTTATTAAGCGTTCCCTATACCTAAACTTAGTATTTTTTAAGGTTTACACATTTTTACGAAAATTTATCAAATTGTGAGAAAATTTCGCAATAAGCCAGGAAAAATAAAAATAAATATTTAAATTTTTAATTGTGTGAAAAAAATGTTTCCTTTCTTTCCATTACTTTGGAGATTTTGCCATTCTTAAAGCCCAAAATAGTATTAAACTATAAAATAATGTGGCCATGCAAATGCTTATTATTATTATTTCTATTTTTATTAATTTTTTTATACTGTCCAATCGTTTAAAGATCATATTAGAGTGTGTTCATAATTTTATTTTGTATCTGAATGAATTATATTTAATTCGTCTCAGTAGACTTTGCACATTCAGGTAGTATATATTTTGTTCTCAATCTTTTGTCAATTTTTCGCACTGTTAGAAAATGTTTGGGATTTTGTTCGTAAAGATGTGTATATCTCAAAAAAATATTTAGTTTAGGTATTCGGCACGCTTAACTAAATTTAAAGAGCATTAATACGAGCAATTAATGGCAGTATTAATATTTTTTATTTTGACTCGCCCTGTATAAACGATTCTAACAAACTTTAGGATAAATCACAAAAATTATTTCCAGTCACCTGTTGGAAATTGCTTCAAAAATATTGGGAAAAAATGACCATAAATTCGAAAACACTCTGTATAGACTATAACAACCCTGCATTGGGGGATCGAGTATAAAAGGAAGTATCTATTAATGCCTTAATATATGCATTAAAAGTATATAAGTTCGATTTTTCGTATATTTAAGATAATTTTTATATTGTTTCTTTTAGTCTCAAACAACAAATAATAAACGAGATATATTACTTTGACACGCCCTTTGGACATCCTGTATATACAATTTTTGTATTTGTTCAATTACTAAAAAAGGCGCTCATGGCATGTATAATATTATGGGATGACATCTTATCTGAATCTCTATAAAAAATATCCAAAAAGCTCGAATACTTAAAAACTTAAATATGTTTAGATTGACTTTTACAATATTATATTGTTAAACCGGGTCTTCGACCAATAAACGGAGTTATTTAGTTCGAATCCTTGGTAAAAAATATGAAAAAAACTTTTTATAAACATCAATCCGGAAATGCAGTTTTCAAGAAAGAAATGAAATATTATTTTTATCTATCTAAACAAACATGCACTCGATTCTGTTAAAATTTGGCAATGTTATTAATTATTAAGTCCAGTAGCGGGATGTTTCATTAATTAATTAATTTATTATCACTCCAAAATTAATAACATTATACAAAGTATCATATTATGTTCTAGAGAAAATTCAAAACCTTTGATACTAGTAACAAAATGTATATGTATCAAGAAAATGATTATGAAAATTAAAAATAATTTGTAATCTGGTGATTATAAAGTCCTATGTTGGTTCGATAGTGGCCAATATCATCTCTTTCGTTCTGCCTTGGTATTCTTAGGTTAAGCCTAATCGACAATATTTGATTGTCGGTCTTGTCTACTACTACTACGTCAACCTTGTCTTTCGCTTACTTTCTGCCAGACTCATTTGACTCGTTAAATATAATGCGCAAATGATTCGGTAATTTTTTGCCGCCCCTTGCAAAAGTTTGATTGTGTTTTCCTGTGTAGACAATTGAGACATTGTTTTTTTGTTTGTATCCAATAAAACTTCATAATTTTTTCACGGAATCGATCGTACGCAGCTTAATCGAGATATATTTTATATTTTTTATGAAATTTATTTATTTTTTATTACTGTTTTGAAACTAAAATAGATCTTTTCAATGTATCTTCATGGTCACCTGTTAAAATCTCACTCCAATCTATTTCTGCTTGGCAGGTATTTATATTGTCTAAATTCGCTTTATTAAAATATATTTTTTTGTTTAATGAATTAAGAAGCTTAAGTCAAGAAACAGACAAGAGTAATTCCTCAGCTTGGCTTAGCTTTAATTTCGGCAAGCAGGTAATTGATCGATTCGTGCAAATTTGCTACGGTATCTCTGTTACATAGAATTAAATCCAATGTCCATAATTACCAAAACACTCATTATGGAGTGACGAAAATCTCCATGCCTACGTACAATGTGGCCACCCGGAACAAGTTTCTTTAAATGTGTGGATAGATATTGTTAGCGACAATTTAATTGGTCCTTTTTTTACCCTTGAAATTGAACGGCAAATCTTACTTATCTATTATGTCTTCCTGTAGATGAACGATGTCTACTACAACTAACAAATTTATTATTTTAAATAGTGTATATTAATGCATTTTTTAATTTCTCGGAAATGTCGAAAATTGTTATATTGTGAGTTTTTAATTGTTATTGTTATCCTATTGTTAAGATTATTGCATTTATATTGCCGATATAGTATAATATTATATATCAAACAATAAAAGCAAGCGCCTAAAATGTTACGTTACCAAATTCCCTTTAAGACGTCATAAAAAATTGATTTAAAAATAGAATCAATTACCTTTTTAACCTGTTTCTTTGTTGTCGTTCTTGTTTTTAATAAAATTTGTTCCATTCTTCGAAATGAAAAAAAGTTTTATTATAAATTTTTAATATTATTTATTGACCACCTTGTGGTTTATTTTTAAAATATCGATACCGATCGCGATCTTTTACGCGCAAATCGATGCCAAATATATGTCAGTCTGAGAAATCAATAAAAACGGCAAACGCCACTTTTGTCTTCCTACTGTAGTTATTGATTTCACTAACGCCATCTAACGAGATCGTTGATTACTAACCCCCTTCTAGGTACCACCACGCTCACTCACACTATTACCAGGACGCCCTCTAGTCACAAATCGGAGGGCAGCTTGGAGCATCATCAATCGTCTCCTCAACCTTTCGCTAACAATTTCTGCCCCTCACAGACCCAATCACAAAACGACCTCGGTCCCGTTTACGACGGCGGCGGCGGCGGCGGCGACGCGGTAACGCCTCTGCCGCCGAAACGCAAACTGTGGCAACGCAGCGCGTCGTGTCGCGACCTCTACGATTTCAGTTTCGAAGACTCGGGCCGCGCGAAACGTCGCGCCAAATCGCCGAAACATCTTGAGAAAGCTGTAATCAGTCTCGACGAGCGAAAACTCGATTCTCCCGTAACGGTTTACGACGATCACCGCGCCCTCTACAGCGCGAGCTCGCGCGACAGCAGCCTCGAAATCCAACAGGACATCATGGTGCCCGACCAAAAGGTCTACTCGAGCAGTTACCCCGGCACCGTGCTCTACTCTCAGGAGTCGGTCGAAGATCCCGGGAATTACGATCTGCGCGATTCCCAGGACGACCTCTCGCACGACAGCTACGAACTGATCGAGAAATCGGACGAGGACTATAGCACGTCGGGCGAGTACAAGAAAGCGAAACCGTTGAACGGGCGCAGCTGCAGCCTCGACTCGGGCAATTACCTGCCGTCCGATAGCGAGTCGGAGGAGCGCGGTATCCGACACAAAAGCGTCTCCGACCAGGACATTTTCCTCTTGGAAGACCCCCGCGATTTCCCCAGGGAAATCGTGCCGCGTAAATCGGACGGCAGCTTTTACAAGGCGTTCAAGCAGAGCTCGCGCACTTCCAGCTTGGAGTCGAAGAGCGACTACTACGAGTCGAAAGCGGCGTCGCGGTCGAGCAAGGAGAGCTTGAAGCGGACTCGCGGCGTAGGCTCGCGGACTTCCAGTCAAGAGTCGCGCAGCGACAGGGAGACGAGAACGTCGCTGCCGCGCAACAAGAGCGCGGACCACCTGGAATATCGACGCCGTTACGACTCGAGGACGTCGAGCGTGGAATCCAAGAGCGAATACTTCGACGCGACTTCGAAGGGCGAAGTCTACGGCCGGGAATACGACCGAAAGATCAATTTCGAGAGGAATTACGGTACGCAAAAAGCGAGACACGTCGAGACGGAACAAATCGCGACGGTCGCCCGAGTAACGGAACAGAGTGCCACGCCCACCGACGTTGGCAGCGCGGCCAGGTCGAGCGCCCAACGCTCCACCGAATCCGAGAGCAATATATTCAGTTTCGACGAGGACCGGATCCAGTCGTTGCAGGAGAGCAGCGATTTCAGCGACCACGGTTTCGGCGTGGTGCCCAACATCGACGATCGCGCGTCGAAGAAGGAGCCGAAAGGTTACCGGAACGTGTTTCGCG